TCCAGCAACTTTTACGCTTATTCGAATAGAAACGTGAATCGGTTGAAAAATGTCTTTAAGGATTAGTTGAGTAAAACGTATGGAGATGAGATGTATTGTGTAAGCTCTGTCATTTCAATAAATTTAATTCTTATAAAATGTAATACAAAGGTACCAGCTAGTATGGACTTTCCATTGTGTGCAGAATTTCATGAAAAAGACACCATTACAAATTTTTGTAGTGAATGCAAATTTTGAAATATCTTGCTTTAAATGTTATATACTGAAATTATGTGGAGCACTGCTCTTTCTTTCATTTAACCAAAACAATCCTGCATTAATTCCTTTCACATCCCAGAGCAATAAATCCTCGTGTTGAATGTACAAAGAAAAATGGTGCATTAGGCCATATTTCCTTCAGCTAATAAAAAAAACCTGTTGCTTGTTGCTTTACTGTCTTTTGTGAGCCAACAAGAAATTGGTTAAATGCTGCATACTGGTATGTTACCCAGTATGTGTACATTGTACCATTACGAGTCAGTGTGCAAGACAAGACTTGTTCCTAGTGTGGTTGACAGGTGCTCCATGAAACTTGTCTTCTTGCATGCAGATGCATCCCTTTCACAAGTGCACAGGGAACGATCATTTCAATACTGCATGTACTGGTGTGCGAGACGTAGTTTATTATGCATGCACACAGTGAGCTAGTGATTGTAATGCTGGCACCCGGTATGAGAGGCGTAACACAAATACAAGTACATGTACATATGCATATATACCGGTATCGCACGACTGCCAAGTACATTGCAAGCCAGGACATCCCAACTGGTTTTGTACACGATATGCTACAAGAGTTTCATGGTGAAAATTGTAAACTTAGCCTTGCAATTTCGAGAACATGTAAGGTTAAGGTTGCTGGCTGGCAAGATGAGATAGCATAATACAAGAGTACCTAAGGCCTGCTGTTTTGTGCATCCAGCCATATTGTGAGCTACAGCACTCAGCAGCAATGCTGAGAAAAGATGGGAGAATTAGAGAATCCTGTCCACATCAAAAAAAGTCAGGAAAAGAAACGGGAGCAAATTTGAGTTTTTGGCTGTCCAAATGCTTGTGAATATGTAAAGGCTGGCAGTACATGTACATTGAACATACATGTACATATGTAGGCCTACACTGTACGTACATGTAGTTTTATATGCCGAGCCTAGCTTTTTGAAGTTGTTTCAGAGTGATTCAGTGCAGAAAGTGTTAGCAAAATATTTCCTGTAACTGGAAATGAACGCCAACAAACATTTGTCTTTATGCGCACAAGCGCAGGTACCAGAACATGTAAGGGTACTGTGTACATCTCTATTTCATGGACAGAATGTCCATCGTGAGCTCCAGCAGACTGGCTGAGATGAGCCAGCCTGGCTGATTATGCATTACACACACACTCAGAGCCTAGAGCTGAAGAGGATTTGTGAATGACAGCATGTGCTATGCAAGGGAACCAGGCGGCTTAGTGTAGATTGAGGTCAAGCAGGTCAGATCTGTTCAGGCCTGATGAAGTTTTGCATTCAGACAAGCCCGTTAGTACTGTGCATACATTGCACACAAATAGGTATAGTCAGCTTGTCCACCTACCTACATGTATGCACATAAAACATATGGTTGAGCTTAGTACAAGACAATGGAAATTCTCATGTTGTGCCACCGGGGAGAACTTGGGTTATGGATTGTGTCATTAATGAATCCAATCTGTAAAAATTTGTACTCCATCTCTCTGTACCGATACTCACATGTACATGTATTCAACAAAATGCTGCATGCACACTGTACATGTATCTTACAGTATCATCAACATGCACATGGTATAATGTACATGTACATTTAGTAAGATATTTTGTTACAAGTTTGTCTTGTTGTGTACATGTACATCATTTATGTACACCTGCGCAGCTACAAGAAGCCTTGCAAGTGTTCAGGTCAGTTCACAGTGGTATTGGTCAGAGTCTGGTCAAGGCTGCCCTGATAATGGAAACTTAATCCATTTCCATTTACATGCACATAGGAGCATGAATTTGGTGTGTGGTTTATTATTGTCACTGCCTTTGCCCTGTAAAGTACAGTTGCCCCAGAGCTACATGTACATTGTAGGTGTATGCAGGTTGAAGCAAATGAAAACGTACCCCTAGCCCTGCATAATTGATTTGTTCAGCTGATTATCTGTTGTGTGTGAAATTTTTCATACACTGTACCTGCGGTACATATGTAACATTTGGGGTATTAAATTAACCACAAATATCTTGTATTTTTCACGTTTTAGTCATAATTGGTTAGGAATTGTACAGTTTTGCAAATGCATATCTTGTTGTGACAGAAATTAGGCCACTGTTTCATCCCCAAGACATTAGTTCATTGTGTTGCCTAGTGTGCACAATCCTATCAGATCATTTCAGCAGCCTGGGGTTAGCACAGCAAACAACCAGGGCTGACCCCAGTGGCTTTGTGGCAACACTCATTCTGGGCTCACATTTCAGATGGGTAGTCATTTTGGCACCAGTTTATAGTTTCTGTCTGCCCCTTGTGTTGACATATCCTGGCCCTCTGCTCAAACGAGCTTCACTGTTCCCAGCTTGTCATGGATTTGGGGAAAGAGCTGTATGGGAGAAAAATCTAGGCCTTTTGTTCACTAAATCTTGTGGTTTTTTTTTTTAGGGGGTCATAACTGTTCTTGAGTTTTATTTGGAATGCAGTGCACATTGTAAGTGTAGATTTACATGTATTACGCACCATGATCCAATAAAATTTCCAACTCTTCATAATTATACTGCATTGTAAAATTTGTATTTGAAAGGTAATGATGTGTGCATCTTACATTGTAGGACTGGTTGTTATTCTCTCGAATCAGAAACCATGGAAAGAAAAAAATCAAAAATGTACCGGGGTATCTGTCGTTTTCCATCCGTGTACGCTTCAGCTGCTTCATTTTTACACTGTGCTTAAACTGAAGTCAAGATTGTCCATTACATTAGCCTATTTGGACAGAAACCTGGGATGACCCTCCTCTAGACCCCATTTGATTAAGTCAACATACGCTAGTGGAAAAAAAATGCGCCAAGAAAGCCTGGCGATGAAGCTGAAGCAAGTCCTCATCACATTCCTGGTGGAATTCGTCAGGGGCCCCTGTAGATGTCAGTCCAACGGCATTTAGAGTAAATAGATTGGGTTGTATCGGGTTATCACTGCATATCTTAACTGCACAGTGTTTATGTGCACAGGGGGTCATAGCATTGCACAATACAGACTTTGTGGAGTCTTCCCCTTTTACAAGAATCTAACAAATGTCATAAATTGATGCCAGAGAATTTATGTCCTCCTCCGTGGCCATTTTGTTATCCAGGGTGTGAGATTTCTCTATTTGATTCCAGCCATAAAATTGACAAATGCCTGTAGCTGAATCATAGTCACGTTCTGCAGTGACTTCCATCTGTAGTTTCAAACATTTGTCAGGAATTTTATCTCTTAGTCCTTGGATGTTTCCCTTGAAAAGCTTTTTGAAATTGTATAAAGAGCCACCGGCAGCAGAGTTCCAGCCTTGAAGTCCAAAATGTTACAAAAAAGTCCAAGAAATGAACTCGGAATTACTTTAACAGATGACAGCACTGACTTTCCCCACACACCTCCCGTTGTTTTATTTGTAGGGCAATGTGATTTTTTCAATGTCAGTTACACATTGATGTAATGGTATATGATTGGTTTTTCACACTCCATCCACAAATCTATATGTCACTCGTTTTGTGAAGAGCTACTAGGTGGGCCTGAGTTTTGATGGTCACTTTTGATACAGGCAGTCTTAATATGTGGTCCAAATACTGACATCATTTTCATCAGATGCAATGTAAAAGGGTTGCTTTATTAAGACCACCCAGACCTTGCTCAAAGCAGTTATAGATTTATAGTTATAGGGTTCTCAGCTGCTTGTCGATGAGTTGTAACTTGGAAGTAGTTTGTTTTAACTTCTCCCATTAGGATTAGAATTAAGAGAAGCGAGAATGTGAAAAAATTGGACTAGCTTTACGATGGAATGCCGCTATAATAAACACAACAGGGCCATACTAAATGTTAAGTATAGCGAAATTTACTGCCGAACATTTCGTTGCCATGTTGAATAGTACCCTCTTTTGATTCTGTGGTTCGTTTTTGTGATGTTTTGATAAAAATGAAGTCGTGAAGCTACCGCTCAGGATCGATCTCTGATGCATCCTGTGGCGAATCTCGGTGGCTTGTGTATCAGCGGCGCCCTCTTTAGACTTATGTTAGTGCAATGCCACGGTGCGCATGCGGAGTCGCAAAACCAGTGTCCATTCAATACTGTTAGCAGATTAACTGTGCGTGCCTTGGCTGTTACTAGAAGACGACTTTGAATTAGTGTGGACCAATGTACCCAGTTTCTCAGTTAGTGACTTACAATTAACTCTTCAACAACTAGTGGCTTTCCCTTCTAATCCTTGGGGAAATAATGGCCACTTGTCACTTTTCAACATAAAAAACCTGACTATTTTATCAAGTTGACGTTTGGGAATTACAAACGGCAACTGCATAGTGTTCAGTCGGTTTTGTGCACAAAATATTGGGTGCCAAGGACGATGTTCAGTACAGTGGAATGTTCGGTATAGCGGTGTTTGGTATAGCGGTGTTCATTATAGCAGCGTTCCACTGTATTGAAAAAATTCTGAATGCTGTTTTCTGAGCTTTTTGCAGTGAATGTGCACTGTATATTCCCTCAGGAGTTGACAATTTGTTCCCTGTTTCAAATTCACAACAACTGAAATGATGAGATCCCAATTGCGGTTCCACAAAGCCCTTCAAAATATCGATCAAAAGAGGCATTGTTAACCACATGTGCAGTGTACAAAGAAAGACAGATGCACTCGACAATCCTTGAAATGTCCTCAAGTTTGCCCTGTACCTAGTCTGGTATTAATGCAGCCACCCTTCTTTCTATCTCTCTTCCCCTCTTTTGCCCTTCATTGCAGTTCTTCCGCCAGTGTTGGTCCCACGTCACAGCGAGTCGGTTCCCTCCCACAGCCTGTTGCCGTACCGCAGCCTCCCTGATCCGCCATATCCACACAACGCCACCTACCCGCAGAGCTTTCAGCAGCAAGCCAACCAGGGCCTCTCCCCTCACCACCCAGGGTCCCCCGGCGGTCAGCTGTCTCCAGCCAGTTCTAGCCCTAGTAGCCCGTATGGAGTCCCCGGTGAGAATTTGTATTCTTTGGAAAGCTGTTCTTCTTAAAAAAAGGTCAACCCTGTTGTAGTCAGCCACCAGCAACAGTTGTCCAGTGTTGTATGTCGGATGTAGTGGTCAATGCAGCAGTGGGCTACTCTGCCAAGAGTGGCATTTACATGCGTACAGTGTGTAGCTAAGGGTATTTTCGAAACGCGTGGATTTGGCTTAGAATTCAGTTTCGCTGGTTCCAACCATTTTGAAGCAGCGTTGGAAACCACATGTTCAAGCTCTGACTGGAATCAGTGAAACTGAAGTCTAAGCCGAATCCACGCATTTCAAAAATGCCCCAATTGAGAACCCTGCTCAGTGGAACAAAAGCAGTTGTTTCCTTGTGTTGCATTTTTGTTGCAATGAGCCACGGTTCTCATTTCAGCCATGTTGCATTTTTTTGCAGTACCCTCAGAAAACCTGATGGGGTCTGGGTTAAAAGAGTATGTCTGATGAGAATCCAAAATGTTTGAATGTTGCACTGGAAGTATCCATTTGTAATGAAATGGCAGTTGCTGTACCCCAAGATTGCTTACATGAAGATGGGCTTCAAAATCTGTTCATGCCCGATGTACATGGGTAGCAATGATGTACGCAGAGCTGCCAACCAGTACAATTTTATCATATTTCGTATGATTTTTCAGTGACAATATGACACTACAATTTTTTCTCAATAAAATACGATTTACAAAATCAATAAACTTTGTAGTTATTTTAGATTTTCACCTAGTTGGCTTGGAAATTCACGTTTTTCACAAGTTTATTTCGCGCGGTGATATCAGTCGTCGGCGATGTCGGAAATGCCATGCAGATGCATGCAACATGCATGACACGGTGTCCATTACCGCTTCATTTGTGCAGTTCGTCTGTATGTAGGCTAACCATGGATGTAAAAGCAAAATCAGTCTGGGCCCCAGACCATGCATCGCAAAATAGAATTTTTAAGGTAAAATCATAGGATTTTTGGTCAAGTGAGGTTGGCAGCTCTGTGTATGTGTAGTTCTTAGTCCTAGTACCTGCCTCTCTGCATGGTCTTCATCAGTTGAATTGATCATGTGTCCTTGTCCCTACAGCCGACACTCCACCACCAGCGTACATGTCCTCTGATGATGGCAACACCAACGACGGAACACCCATGGATACATCATCTGCACAGCCTACAAAGTCCAACATGAACATGCAAGGTGAAATAGCCAGCGAGCCTTAAATGGGCAAACAGCTCTTGTGATCATCAAAATAAGGGGGGAAGCCTTCACTCCAAGCAGTGCCCTTGCAGTGCCTTTGAGTTTCTGCACATAACCCAAAGAATTTCAGGAAGGTTTCTTAGGGGTCGGGGCAGGTAGAGGGCATTTTGCACTTTTATTTTGTTCCCTTATCAAAAGCCATGTGAAGCAGGTTCATTGCACATATTAACCCCAGTGCTCCAAGAAGCTTAACCACTAGCTGTCGGGTGCTTTTAAAAATGCAGTGCACACATACAGGAGATTTTCAAGAATATTAGTTTTCAAAATTCTTCAAAAACTCATCATTTCATTTAATGGATATTTAAACAGGCAACCTTCATTGACTCCTGAGTGTTTCAGCCAGGCCTGCCGCCCTGTAAAAAGAGCCCAGAATCGTGAGGGGTTGTGTAATTTCCTTTGTCCCCATTGGATGCAAGTGGCGTCTTTTCAAACGCAGCTGGATTAGCATGCTGTGTCGCTCATCAATGAGTATTCCGAGTATGGTCTTTTGTTATAGCTCTTTTGTCCCGTTTTGGGCACCCTATCTCTTCGTATAAACCCATGGTGCTCGAAACGGGGCTCCCCGGCAGCACATGCTTAAAAGTCTGCTGGGGGAGGGGGGGGTTAAGCGGATTTGATGGCATTGATGAATGTTGAGCCCATCTCCTGTTACTTTTTACAGTGTTAAGTGCTCTCTGAAGCGTAAACCTTCTATCACACTTGTCAAATTTCTGCAATAAATCAAAGATGCAAAATGCTTAAGTGAAAGCTTATCTAACAGTTCACCATTTGCTGTTTTTCTGCTCCACAAAATACTTGCACAAGAAGCAATGTTGCTTTTGGCCCAAAGTACGGACTTTTTAAAATGACATTTCTTACCGCATCGTTATTTTTGTGAAACTCCAAGAGAACGTTGTGGAGGGGTAGTTGCTACATTTTCCCATCCATGACCAACCGTAGCTTAACCCTAACCCTCCTCAGTCCTCCACCTGTTGGAGGACTGAGGATGGTTGGGGTTAAGGGCTTCACACACACTCATAACTCCACAAGCTAGGCTGAGTGTCTGTGTGTATAAACTGAGTGGGAATCGCTCAAACATGGGGACGTGTATAGACACCATGTAGCACAACATGTAGAATTTGCTTACACATTCTCTATCTTACTTTCAAGTCATTTGGGCCTAATTTCACGATGCTGCTTAGCACACTGTTTCACGCTAACAGAGACTCCAAGTATTTCATGGAGATCGTAAGCAGGAAGTATAGCCAAAGCCCTGCTAACCTTGGAGGAAAAGTTTGCTTAAACTTAGTGATGTAACAATAGAAATCTCTACGTGCATGCAACTGTTAGCACAGCCACGCCAAGCACCACCATGAAATGTTGCTTCAGGTTAGCAAATGTTTCTCCTGAAGTTAAGCAGCTCCGTGAAATTGGGCCCTGTATCAAGTGGTCAAGAACGTGGAAATCTCAGAGTTACAGATATAGTTGCTTGTTGGGATGCTGGGGGATAGTGTGAGTACTCACTCTTGACAGGCTTTATGTCGTACCCTTGCAGACGTGCAGCCTGTGACGTACACAGAGCCCCAGTGCTGGTGCTCTGTCGCCTACTATGAGCTCAACAACCGCGTGGGGGAGCCCTTCCATGCGTCCAGCACCAGCGTGATTGTAGACGGCTTCACAGACCCTTCCAACAAGACGGATCGCTTCTGCCTAGGATTGCTGTCCAACGTCAACAGAAATTCAACCATTGAGAACACGAGGAGACACATCAGTAAAGGTACCGTTGAGGTTTGATTTGTAACTGTGAAAATCGTACCTCTGGCAATGGCATTAACTTGACCATTTTTGTGCCCCGTCTCGCAGCATATGCAGTAATCCTGTCTGAAATGCCATTGTCCTACAAGTGGTGACACACTAAAGGAACATTTGAAATGACTTTGGCACAGGTGACATACATGTATACATGTACTTTCTACTGCTCAGAATACCAGTATGTTGTCAAATTCCCCACCGATTGGTGAGGTATTTTCACCTGGTGCTCTTATCCTGTATTTCCCCCGTTTTGACTTAAGATGCATTTTATGGATGGTGCACCTTTTGAAATACGTGTTCCTACACAGTGACAAATTGATCCGCATATTATTCTGGGATGCCCATCTGCCCAGATGAAATTCTACGCAACTAAATTTGGAGTCCCCTCAATAGCCTAAGTCACTTGGCTCTTGAACGAAGGAGAAAGTGACAATGGAATGAACGTTAATGTCCAATACTTGCCCTGTAGGTGTTCATCTGTACTATGTTGGTGGTGAGGTGTATGCCGAGTGTCTGAGCGACAGCAGCATCTTCGTCCAGAGCCGCAACTGCAACTACCGCCACGGCTTCCACCCGACCACCGTCTGCAAGATCCCGCCGGGCTGCAGCCTGAAGATCTTCAACAACCAGGAATTTGCCGCCCTCCTCTCTCAGTCGGTCAACCACGGCTTTGAGGCGGTCTACGAGCTGACCAAGATGTGCACCATCCGCATGAGCTTCGTCAAGGGCTGGGGGGCCGAGTACCACCGGCAGGACGTGACCAGCACCCCCTGCTGGATCGAGATCCACCTGAACGGTCCCCTGCAGTGGCTGGACAAGGTCCTGACCCAGATGGGTTCCCCCCATAACGCCATATCCTCTGTCTCGTGATCTAGCCCCCCCTCCCTCCCTTCCTCCCTCCCCAGGGTAAGGCAACACAGGGTGTCCTGTTGAGCTGTTTTATTCTCGTCGATGCCAAGAACCCTCTCCAGGCTATACTTCAGGGAGTAGTGTACTCACCGATTTAGTGCGGAGCCAGTGAAATGTGTGCTTGACTCAACAAAAAAAAAAGACGTTAGTTTTGTCAGTTTGAACCAATTTGTGACATAGTGTACAGATGATAGTGGATTAAATAAGTCTAGCCAATTGTTGAAACCTAAATGTGGCTACCATTTATTGAGTTAAATAGTGATAAACAGCAACAGACAAGCACAATACCGGTACAAGGTCAACAAAACTTGACCTATCGTCATTGCACTCCAGGCGTAATCTGGATAATCATGACATTCTCAAAATCTAATGAAAACAATTTGTAATGAAAGAGCCGTACCGGTAGTTCTTATAAAGTTAGTATCACAGAAAAGTCCCTGGTACAGGAGAATACTATCATTTTGGCTAGCAGTAGATACAGCTATTTTTCATTAAAGAGATCAGTTTTCAAATTTCTTCCCTGTACCAAATGGTACACTGTCTGACAAAACAATCTTGTCACACTTGACTAAATATCTTTTAACCTGACCAGTTCTTCCCAAGTCTTGAGACAAGACTACTAGATACACAAGTGTTAAAGGGTCTACTGTTATACAAAAGCTTGGAGGGCTTTTAAGAAATGTACCAAATGAAATTTTCTCCTGGAAAACTTAGCGGAGCTAGGAGGAGGCACCAAACTGAAAACGCGGAGAAAGGCTCAGTTCTGTTGAAGTGAAAGGTTACTGAAACGACTACTACTTTGTAAGTTAATTATATGAAATGCATCTCATGATCTGCCAAATTTCCTGTCAGGGATAGAAGTGTGCCCTTTCAGCATTGTACCACTCTGTGACATCTGCGCAGCACGCTCTGTTTGGCCCTGAATTTTTCTATACTGGACAAACACTTTGCCAATTGTGAGAGATTTGATAAATGTACGTGTATATTTGATGTCAGTAATGCCATTGATTCGATAGAATGACTCAGATCAACTTAAATATTAACCATTGTTTGTTTTTTAAACTCTGTAAAAAAGGAAGAAAGTCTTGTTATATGAACTTGTAACGTAGGTCATGTTTGCCACAGTAATACAAGATTTTTTTTCCTACCACAGAGGTGCATGAGTTTTGTATGTGCCATCTGAATGTGTATGTCAGCGTTGCATGTTTTCTTAAACTGAACATTCTGTTTTTGAAATGGCGCTAACTCTGAATGTACCAGAGTGTGTCAGAGGAAAAAAGTATTGGACAGTTTTCCTTTTTTTTTTCTTGAATGAAAGAGGAACTTAATGCATGCCTACACATGCATGTGTGGTTGGTCTTAGTGGAATGAAATTCATGAACTATCCTTGCAAGATATGTGTGAGTTAATCAAGTGAAACTGCATTAAGCCAGTTGTTAAGATGCAAATTGAGTAAGAAGATTAAAATACAATATGGAGATAGAGTTTCACCAGAGCTCAACACATCTATCACTCAACACAAAATGGCTACATCAGATGACCTGTTGACAGACAAGTTCTCTGTTGCGATGCACTGGGCTGTGTATGGGTTTTATTGCTCCACTGGGCTGTGTATGGGTTTTATTGCTCCGACAGCTGCCTTGTGCATCATCGTATCAGACTCCATGTTTGGTCATTTGTCTGAGATTCCCCGTGTTATGTATTGATGTAAAAGCTCATAGGTACTGGGTTTGACTGGAATGGACAACAGTCTTTACACAAGACTTGGTAACAGCCCACTTAAAAAACACCAAAGATTGAAATTGTTTCCTTTGGCCTTTCAGGTGTAGAGACTTTGCATGGTAGCCATCTTGCAGGGCTGTTCCCTAGGGTAGCCTAGTTTGTGCATACCCTGCGAAACAAAGCACTTCCCTGCAAATGGCAGGCATGCAAACCCTCTATAGGGCAGTCTACACAAACCTGCACCCCTTTTCTGTAAAAATTACTCATTGGAGGGTAGGCTTAAGGTACACTTGTGAGAAAGGACTTAATTTATTTTTTAGATAAATGTAAATTGTAATAGATACAAAATTGTGTGTTTTGACAACATAATTGTGAACCTGGTACACAGAATGTCCAGTCTGTCGTGCAGTTGATAGTTTCTTCAAATGGTATAACATAATATATGTATCTGTTTATCAAAGTATTCAACTAAAATTGCCAAAGTTCTGGGAGGTTTCCCTTCTGTACCATTCTACGAGTTTCATCCATTACTTTAACATTTGGTTAAGTCTGCATGTAGTTAGAGTCATTTCCAGATAATTTAAACTCAGTGATTTTTCCTTTTTAACATAGATGTGCCAAAAATTGGAGGAAATAAGCAGCCTGGCACTTTCCCATGGGGTTTGGCCACACAAGTCACTGGAGGAAATCACAGATTAGTCATTGTGCGAGAGTCTTGTTCACAACTCAGCCAGGAATTATCACAATAGAGTAACTTGAACTACTAAATGTTAAAAGTGGAGATGCTCGGTGGAGCACTCTTACACATTTCCAATATCCTTAACCCTAACCCTCCTCAATCCTTCACCTGTTGGAGGATTGAGGAGGGTTAGGGCTAATGTACGATACAGAAAGTGGGACGTATTGATGTTCATTTTAAAATTTTAGCACAAACGGTAGATGGAGCATTTATATCGACCCCATCATTAGCGGTTGACATGATAGGAATACTTACATTGAAGGTTTTCGGTGGAGCAGAGGATAGCTCCATGATTGAAGTTAAGAGGCCATTTCATTAAAAAAGAAAAACTGGAGGGGGGGATGAAGAACCAATTCTACAAGTTTGTTTGCCGGAAATTCCTACCTACAAATGCAAGTGTCAATGTGCTCAGTATTTTTTTTCCATAACTTGTTCTATTGACTGATTTGTTGTCCGACCGTTGTGTGACCAGTAATTTCTCTTATTGTTTTTTTCTACTGCCTGTATTATATGTAGCTTAGCCCTGTCTAGAGAGTGGAGCAGAAATAAACACGAGTAGTTTACCAGAACGGTTGTTTGTGTCGGACTTTCATTCGTGCTTTTTCTGAGTTCTCTGCTCCTTCCAAGGAAATTTGCAAGTGGTTAAGAATGTATAGCTGATGAACAAGGCCAAAAGGAATGGCTGTTGAGGGTTTTGTTTATTCTTGCAAAGGAGAAGACATGGGTGTCACCACGAGTGTTCCGGGGGCACTTATCAGCAACGATCTAAAAACCCTTAGCAGAAGGGTCAAATTTGAGATTGGTTTCCAAGCAAAGTGGAGATTTTCATTCCTTTCCACATTTTCCCGTTTCCCTCGCCTTTTTCCTTTTTCTGAATTTCCGATTGTCTTTTTTTGTGGGGGAGGGGGGTTGCCAGTGCCTACTTTGCCCTCCCCCAGCAATGCCCATGTATGGAAGGAAGATGATGTAGGGTGTCGTCGGGATCTGTCAGTTGGGCAAGAACGGCACATCCCCAGCCCCATTGCTAGCTTCTAGTACGGGGAAAGTGTTGACTATTGTAACGATTCAAATAATTATGTGCTCAACAAAAACCAAGTTATGCATTTGCCAGTTGCAGTCCCGCAAGTTGTCTGGCGGCGTGGATAGGACGGGCAAACAGCATGTCGAATATTTTGTCCTCTTATGGCTGAAGTCCTCATTGAAGAACGGTCATTATTGACAGCGCCCTCTTGATTTTTGACAAGTTCGTGTGTCGGGTTCGGCTCAATTACGTAACGCAATGTTTACCGCGGTGAATACACGCTATTGCTAGAACCGCGTGCATGGAAGATTGTCAAAAAGAGCCACGATTGAGGAGGCCTATGTTTTCAAACTTGAAATGTAGCGTGTCAACTGGGGTGTGCCATTGGGTGTATCAAGCACACGATAACGCATGACGCAAGCTTCCATGACGGACCGTAAGTTTGCTCTGTGAAGACGTGCGAAGGCTCGTAGGACTGACGACGATTCGCTCCTCACATTTCACCCAGAATGCACTGCGGTAAACATTGCGTTGCGTCATCATGTTTAAATTTTAGGACTATTTCTGTCACTCAAAATAGTAAATTTTAATGCATGTTTTGAAGTGCCGCTTCACGGCAATAGTATAATCTGTTTAATTTTTTGCCAGTCACTTGTATTTGACAGAGGGCACTCTAACTTTGTCAAATTGTATATCAAACATCTGAGATAAAGTTTTTCAAAGCATGTTCAGGAATATCGGAAAATGCTACAACTTAAGAAGGTGATGTTAGGAAAATCTCTGTTGAAAAGCAGTTTTAACGTTGAGGGCGCTTGTCAAATAGACCGTAAATTTTTCCCTGATCGTCTGCCAAGTCAGTATAATAGAGATCAGTGACCAAATCGTCAAGGAACCAGTCTATGAGCGCACCTCAGGGAACATCAACCTCTCAAATTACGAAGTCGGATACCAGACATCTAAAAATACGAAAATATTTACACACAGCAACCTGTTGATACAGGCACAGGGTAATCCTCAACTTTTAGAGATTTTTT